CCTGTCTTCCTCGCATGCCATTGGAACGCTGATAGACACGGGATTGGCTGAGACCGGGGTAGCACAATATGTCTGCGCCCATATATGTCATCACACCACAGCTGCACTTTATGATCCTGTTCCAGTAACCTAGAGGTAACATGTCTAATTTGACTGTTTTATACCGGTTAGAAACTACTTTTTACCTAAATATTTATAATTTTTTTGCGGCTTCTTTTCTTAGCACTAAGGAGTGCAGTAATTTGATTGTGCCCCAATTCCTGACATCTGCTTAATGTTACTCCCATTGTATGCTGTTACCTTCGGCGGCTATGAAAGCTTTCTTGTCTGATGTAATTTAATGTTAAACCCTCTGGTTAACGCACCCTTCCTATCCTGGATTTTGCTTATTCAATAATAAGCCAATTAATTTTTTTGTTCATTGCACATTTTCCTCTTGTTGAATCAGCTCACTAATGTTTTCAAGTGTTTTAAAGAGTAGGATAAAAGCTATGGCATTTTGCTGTTTAATTTTTTTGTGATTTTGTTATCCTAGCTTCTCCATGGTTTTTGTCGTGGTAGTCAATTTGTGAATTAGAAATCGAATCCATCAACTTCTTAAAACTGTGGAAAGTAAAAACTTGGGTGACATTTTGTGAATGACTGTGGCAACAACCAATGTTTTTCATGCCCGATGCCTTGTTGTTTTGAGATCACCACAGAAACAGTTGATAAGCTTATCTACATCCTATGTTAATTTCTTGTCTGTTTGATCGAAGTTATTGTTACATGCTTTATCTTATCAAACACAATCCCACGGCCGTGTCCATTGCTCTCGTATGGTGCTGTTCTGCGCACTGCCAACACGTTTCTTTGTTGTGTGGTGTCGGTGCGTCACCGTTCGTGGTAATTTATGCTTTTACAAGGTGTCCATGTAAACAATCTGCAGTAAATAACCAACCTTTGGCACCGTGTCTCTACTTTTATTCGATTTTCCTACTATTCCAATTTTAATTGTGACTATTTGCCTCGACTGAATGTTGGCATTTGACCAGTTTCTTAGTGTTTTAATGAATATAGGTGCATGAACGGATCTAACGAACAGGGCGGTGAGCCGCCCTTGCAGCAGCAGCAACAGCAGCAGATACCAGCTTCCTTGTCGACTGTAACTTCCACTCCAGAATTATCAGGTGTAATGTCTGTAAGTTGTGGACAACCAGTGTGGACGCAACAGCAAGTTACAACTATTGTTCCGGCCCCTGGGCAAGCTGTCTTCGTTCAGGGTCAACAGCAAAATGTCAGTTCTACCGCTCCCATAGTCTTAGCCCCCACAACTACGACGCTTAACGGGCCGTTTGTTGCTGCCACCGGCGTTGTGGGCAGTACGGATAACCCACCGACACCCCAACTCAATGGAGTGATTCCACAAACAGATTCGACACCAAAAGTAACTTCTCTTCAAACTGGCGAAACCGTCTCTGCATCCTCCAAACCTGCCACGTCTTCTCCACTTGCTCAGCAAGTACCTAATAATCCAGCTGTAGGTGAGACCTCGCAACATCATCCTCCTGTTTTCAATACCAAGTCGCTAACGGAATTAGTAAAAGAAACCGATCCGTACCTACAGCTTGATGATGAAACGGAAGAGGTATGTCTCTAGCTGTTTTCCTTTATGATACCTGTACGACAACGCCAGGCGTTTTCAAAAATCTTTTTAGTGCTCTTATTTTGGTGTAATTGAAGCAAGAACAAAATCTGATGTACACAAAAGCCTTGACTGTTCGTAATACGTCAACACAATTGTTCTGTCTAGGCCCTCACAATTTTATCGGAGGAGTTTGTCGAGTCAGTTGCCAAACAGGCTGTCAAAATGGCTGCCCACCGCAATTCATCTGTAGTCGAAGCAAGAGATGTGAAATTTTGTCTAGGTAAGTCAGTCTTCATGCCAATCTCTCCAGTAGTCTTGATGCGTCTATGATACCGTCACTATCTACTTAGATTGAATAATGCGTCTCGTGCTTCTTTGTAAAATAGCCATACATCCCTTGGTTATACATTGGTGCAGTTTTTTGTGAGATATCCGTGTAAAAAAGCAGTCATTTTGGTGGCGGAACAAAATTCAACACCATTTGTTCCGCTGAGCCTCTTTTCTGTGGAGAACCCATGGCCACCAAAGAAATCCCAAGACGCAAAACCTCGAATCTCACGAGTTGCGAAGGCTGTTCTCTATCACGTTACCATCAGCAGAATGGTTACGCCTTTACACTGGCTTCGCGCCCGTATCACTTTTTTAGATCGTGATTGGAATATATTCATACCTGGATTTCCCGTCGTTGAGAAGAATTTCAAACGTCCGTTCATTCTGCAGGCCCACAAGCAGCGTCTGGCATTGGTGAAGAAACAAATCAAACGCAGCTAATGCTACTGCGCCTTAAGCTGCTGAAATATTGTCCACACTACCACACTTTATTGAATGTTTCCGTGTCCACTTAGTTCGCATTTTGTACATTAAATGATCAATGCCGATATGAACTTCACACAAAACATGATTATTAAAAAAAAGAAAATGTTAAACTGATTAAATCACGGCTATACTGGAGATGATAGGAGCATGGGGGATTTAAGCCCTGGAGAAAGTGCTGGTTACGGTGCATCTGATTGTACTACTTCCAGACTAGAGGCTTCTTCCAGTTCATGCCACTCCGGGGAATTGAGTCCGTTCGACTTTATGTTCAGTACCTACCAAGCGGTACGTATAGAGATTGATCGTGCCTTCTTGTATGTCCAATAACATAAAGGTAGGTTGTGAGCCCCTAAAACAAAGAAAGGTCTTAAAGCACGTCACAAGTTGAGTGCCCTCAGGCATAATTTTTTAACTCGGTGTAAAATTGCCTTGGATGACCACTTGGTACACAAGACGCCACGTGACGGCCTTTAATGTATTTAAAGGTAGACTAAGTATGTCCTTAGTACCGAGGGTAAAATAGCCATCTATGGCTTGATACATAAGCCAAACGATTTACGAGTACAGATGTCTCACTTAGGCTTCACAAGAAGACTTTACCTTCGTAGAGGAGTGAAAGCACCGGTAGCAGAACCTGGATTTAAAAATATGCCCCCATCATACTCGTAGGCCTCCGCTTCGTGTGTATGCCCAGAAATGAGAATGTCGACATTGAGCTGCCTTCGTAGGATTGAGAGACTTTCGCGACTGCCCCAGGGCACAACTTGGTGTCCGTGGGTGAGTCCAACTTTTAGTTTCCCAACAGTAAGTACTTTGGTTTCCGGGAAGGGGAGCTAGAGTACGTTACAATTACGTGGAGGTGTTAGGGAATATACCTGATCGAAGTCACCTTTGACGACATGAATATCGGCACAAATGAATTTCAATTGGTCATAAAGGATTCTATTTGTCAAATTTCCTGTGCACCACACGTGATGGATTTTACCCGGCGAAAGAAGAGCTTTAAAAGCTGGATGAATACAAACACTGCGATCCGGGATATGAAAATCACCAATTACTAGAACGAGCTTTAAAAAAATTCTGGCGAACAAAACACACATACCATGTTTGAGTTGACGTAATGCGGACCTTAGTGGGAAAACAAAAATCCCTGAAAAGCGCGAACAACAATTATATTAGTTCCAACTGCAGAATGTGTTCCAAGTAAAACCACAAACGCCAATAACTAAGTTACACCGTCACCGAACTACGCAAACTTGAGGATTCATGGGATTTGAAATTACATCTAGTAACCATTAAGGCCAAGTTTTCAATAGGAAGGAGATTCTGATTTCAGGAAATAAAAGCCGGGCTACTACCATGACTGATATTAAGGGACCCATAAGTTGACACCTACTTTCAGGTCCTGCACGACATTAGAATGGCTTGAGGTTGGCTTTACTAAATGTAACGCAGAAATATAAAACTAAACATGCATTACCGCGACTCAAGGCTCTAACCGTGGAAAATGTGTAGATGACTTGAGGAAAGAACATGCAGAGCGCAAAGCTATGTGGGATTGGCCTTTTGAAATAAATTTGGGAGAATGCGTTTAAACCACGCAATGATAAAAACTTCATACAAATGCTTCAGAACATCTGGAGCGATCGGTTCGAAATCATAAGTAACTGGTTAAAATTGCGACACAGCAGTTTGTGCTACTGAATAATGACTTCAAATCAACCTTAGAGTTTTAATAAAAGGCAGCAATGACGTCGATTATTAATGAGTATGCAAGTGTAAAAATGAACGTGAGAAGTAATAACCGATTACTTTCCGAATGACTATTTGATCATTAACAAAATGGAGAACAAGTGTACAGAAAAGTTAGCAAAATTGAAAAAGCCGCAAACAATGATTGAATTCGATGAGCACACAAAACAAGAGACAGACAACCAAAATATTTACAGCCAGTACTTTTGACTCGTACTGGTGCAGAGTAAAAATGACAAAGATTATAAAGAAGTTAGGAAAGTCGTGCTTATAACCACCAATGAAAAACACTACAAAATCTAACGCCACAAATCGAAATATTAAAATGTATTACAAAAGCATTAGAAAAAAATTTTGCAAGACAGTATTTATAAAGCACGCATTTATCTCTTGGCACCCATTTGTCCAACTGCGAAAAATGAGTTCTAGAGTGTTGTGGCGTCGGATTAGGGCGCAGACATGTTGGGCCACCTGGCCTCAGCCAATCCCGTGTCTCTCTGCGATCCAATGGCATGCGGAAAAGGAAGGCAGCCAACCAGAGAAGGACACGACTGAGGAGCAGTATATGATGAGCGGCGTGGCCACCGTGATGGACTCGGATGGAAGGCGCCTGACGCGTGGCTCTGGCTTCTGATTGGTCAATAAAGTCTGTTCTGTTGTACCGCTCTTTTTCCTATTGGGGCTCGGGTATTCTACAGTGTGGTGTGTCGTCGGATTC